TTCCTTGTAAAATATTATTTTCAACATAATTTTTATTGCACACGGTTCTAGTTTGCATAATGGATCCAATTATTGAAATTGTTGGTAATTTTGCAGTTATTGAAAATGTTAGTGATGGCGAAATATAGTTAACACTGTATAGTTTTTTTAAATCTCTCAGATAAATGTTTGCCATGGAGAGACTTGGAATCATTTTTTGTATAATGTATATTTATAATTTATTTTAATGGAACAAATGGAAATAATATAAATGCAAATTACGTACTGTGTGGCCCTTCAGTAAAAGATATAAGTGCAAGCTAGAAATACATCATCTAATTTGAAGCGGCATATTAAGATAAATAAGTGTTATTGTTTCCTACTCTTTTGAATTTATTTTACGTTTTAGCTAGTGCAACGGTACCGTTGCTTTAACTTTTTATCTTAAAATTTTATTTTTCATTGTAAAGTCTGATTACTGAAACTTAAAGTCACGGCAGCGAAAACTATTTTATTTTAAAATTACTTCGTTATACTAGATGCATGTTTAGCCTTGCGGCATCGCTATTTTTTGTTATTTCGGAGTTCGGGGTTTGAAACCTCATGTCGGAAAATCTATATACTATTACATCTAGTTTTTCATGTTTTTTAACTATTTTTGTTGTTTAATGAAAGTTACATTGCTATTTATTATTTAAATAAATCGACTGATATAGTGATAAGCGTAGTGGAACGCACATATATCAATTAAGGATATTAGTTTTGGTAGACATTCTTTTAACTAAAGAAAAAAAATCAACCCCCAAGAAATCGCTACGGTGACTTTTAGAGAAAAATTAAAGCAACGGTACCGTTGTGCGAGCAACAGCGTTTATTTCGACTTTACTTTGAATTGTGCATAAATTAAATTCATGATTAATATGTATAGTATGCAAATATGCAACAAAAAATTTAGAACTTTATTTAACATACAAAGTATGAGACTATTGTTGTACCCTATTGTAAACATAATGTAACTTTAATAGGTGCACACATTGTTAAGTATGTACATTCACAAGTTAGACCATGTTAAATAAAGTTCTAAATTTTGAATTTGCTATAGTTTCAAATTTGATTAACATAATAACAAATCCCATTAAACAAATTTATTCAGAAATAGTTTAACTTTTTTTTTTTTTTTTCATTAGAGAATTCACCCATTTAAAATGATTGCCTTTGAAAAAGCTCTTGCTGAAGGTAAAAAAAAATGCTTTTGTTAAAAAGAAAAAATTTAATTCGTCGAACAATGTATAAAAAGAAGCAGTACAAACAACTCTTGAGAAGTATGGAACCAATAAAGAGAAAAGTGTTTTAAATTAAATCAAAAAAAGTGTAGATTAACTTGTAGTAAATTTTGTTGTGAGTGAAACAAAACCTTTATCTATAGTTAATAAACCATCGTTTGTGAATTTAGTAAAATTAGGTCTTCCAAGAGACCTGAAGGTTATTTGTAGTAAAACTTTAAAACTACGTATTAATAAACTGTATTTATCAATGATTGAAAATATTTCTTCAACGCTGGGAAATGTTATGTATGTTGCCATCACAGCTGATTGATGGAGTTAAGGTAAAAGAAATTATATTAGGGTGACTTGCCATTGGATAGATCAAAAGACTCTTCAGTGTCATTCAGTATCTTTAGCATGTAGCCGTTTAAAAAGAAGATATACATATATTGTTTTAGCTACTGCTTTGTATAAAATTCATACAACCTATAAAATTCAAAACAAAGTAATTGCTACAGCAACAGACGGTGGTTCAAATTTTGTGAAAGCTTTTAAATCATATCCAATTTCAAAAGATTCAGCAAACGAGGATAAAAGCGATGAAAATGACGAAGATCATTTTTGCAATGAAAACATAAATTTGTATGAAATTTTTCGCAAAAATAATCATGAACAAGAAAAGAGTGACTTATATGTTCAGTTACCACGACATTTTAGATGTGCGAGTTATACATTAGATTTAATTGCAAAAAAAAGGTGTTGAGAAAATGATACATATTTCAAAAAGCAGTTTTAAAAAAAATTTTTAGGAATGCAATGAGCAAGTGTTCATCATTATGGAATAAACAAAATACATCAAATAAAGTTGCTGAAAATTTTCATAATACGCTAGAAGTTTATTTAAAAACACCAAACAAAACAAGACGGAAATGTACTTATGATAGTATATTACAAATTAAAAATATTCTTTTAGAGCCTAATGGATAGAACAAAATGAACAATATAATGGATTTCTGTAAAATACAAAGATTCACAAATCATGAAATTCAATTAATTTAAGAATACTGTGAAGTAACAACTCCTCTTGCACAATTTTTAGACATTTTACAACAAGAAGATCAACGTTTATGGGGTATTTATTACCTACTCTTTATACTTTGGATAAAAAATTTATTACTTTGCAACAAAAAAATAAGAACTTTTGTGGTCAAATTATCAACACAGTGAGAAATTCTATTCAAACTGGTTAAAATCTTTGTTCAAAAGTGTAAATCCTTCTTCTACAGCTTGTGAAATCGAGTCCTCTTCGCGTATAGCAACCGGTACATCTAAAGAAGACTTTTTTTGAAAATGCTGGCGCCATCCCTGCTTAGAGGTTTAAACATACAGCTTTACAAATTATCTATACAACCTGACTTTTTATTGAAATCGAGTTTCAGCTACGTATAGGGAATCTTCAATGATTGATAAAATTGGATTTTAAGAAAATAGATTTAAAAAAGCAGTTAAATTATCTTGTTCTTTTATCTATAGTAAATTTTGTTTTTGATGTTTTTACTGAGATACTTAAAAAATTCTTGAGCTTTATATCCAGAATCAAAGATTGCATTAATGTCCTACCTAAAATCAAAGATTGCATTAATGTCCTACACAAAATACTAATAATATGCAAACTGTTAATAAAATAGGAAAAAAAAAAAAAATATTGCTAAATATTAAAAAAAAAAGAAGCAAATATCAGTTTTTAAAAACCAATTAGTTATGTTGATGACTTTCTTAAATGGAATTGATAAATAAGTTTTCAACATCATGTCATACGACAAATTTACTATTTTATTTTAATTCCTTAACAATGAAGCATGACTCAATGGAGCAAAACTGCTTATGGAATCTATGTATGTAAAAGTTATATGGCGAGATTAAATATCCCGATTGTTGAAATTATAAGTCAAAAAGATGTAAAACTTTGAAAAGGTGAAAGTATCTTTACCAAAGGCACCTGTCGTGGTACAGTCTTAGTTGTATAGTTATTCCAGCAGCAAGTCAAAATAGCGCCTTTGCGTTTAATGGAGAAAACTTTGAAATGTAGTTTGAAAGCTTTATTCTCTTAAAATAACTTTTGACCGGAAAAGTTTAAAGCTTTTAACAACTGTTTGAACTATCAAGAAGTAATCACAACAAAAATCAAGATCTACGTAAAGTAACCCGACGAGCATTTGTTTTTAAAAGTTACGTTCTAAATGTATTTTAAATGTCTTTTAAATGTCTTTTAAATGTCTTCTAAACATTCTTACGCAAAAAACGTTTAAAAGACATCTAAAATACACAAATGCCCGTCGGGAATCGTTTACGTATACTAGGTATAACTATCAAAGTTTTAGATAATCTCTACTACTTGTTTGAACTTTATCTTTTGCTTCCCCGTTTAACAATAGGTTTACATTCTTAAAGTAGGTTTCTTCGGCAAAGAACTTGTATCTCTCCATGATTTTATTTTGTGTAGTATTTTTGCTGAATTTAAAAACAAGCTGCAATATTTAAATAAAAGTATATAAAATACCTTTTTCTAAATTCAGGAAAAAATAATACCAACTCGTATCAAGACATTTATTAATTTAATTCTAATCTAAAAATTTATTATTGGTCGCTTTAAAAAACAAAACGTAAAAAAATAACAATAAACTGTTTCTAAAGGCTTACCTTTATTTTTTATTTGCAATTTGTTGATTCCATAGGAAAATGTAAGTGGAATATGATTGGATAATTAGAAAATGTAAGTGGAATATGATTGGATTATTTTACGCTGATAATAGAAAATTGTGCTAACGTATTTTGACTCCGTTCTCACTCCAGCTATATTATAACTCTTTGCTTAAAAAGTAAGCCATATTTAAAAAAAAGTACAAAAAATTATAAATTTACAAAAGGAGTGGATGGCAAAAGGTGAAAAAACTTGACAACTTTTTTAACAACTTTTTATGTTTTTAAAATTGGAGCAACACAATACCTGTTGAATGAAAAACTTATTTATTTAAAGAACCTTTACGACAAGATGGAAGATCCGAAACCAAAATGTCTACCAGCTCGATTGTTAAAGTGCAATAAAAAAGCTCTTATAATGCGCACACTCTTTTACATGCATCTGATGTACATTTCCAGTGACATCCTGTGAATGTTTTATAATTGATCTGTTGTTATATTATAAAACTTTTCATTATTTTGATTTTGAATTTAAAAATCTAATTTTTTAGGCTAAGTTGTAAACTTTTTGCATGTTTATTGATTTTTTTTTGTTTTTCTAAGAAGCCAGTTGGTACTTTTAAGAATTCACCTCCCCCCTCCTTCCTATTTCCCCTCATTTTATTTGCAGAATTGCCTCAGATTAGCAAGTACAACAAAATCATAAAACTATTGTTATCCAAAGTTAATATTTTAAGCTTCAGCTTTCATATTCATATTTTTACCCTATATGTTTATAGTTCTATGTTAAATCTATGGTTAACATGATAACATGATTCCTTTGGTCATACTCATATTTTTAACTGGTTCTTTAACTTACAATTTAATATCTAATTAATTTTAATAGTTTAAAAAAGTTCTATGATTTGAAAATATATAATTTGTAGCCTAGTATGCTCTTTATAGTAATTAATTTTATTTAAAATAAAATTTAATTTTTTATGCAGTACATTATACTTATTCTATATTTTTAAAAATTATTTTCAGTTTTTTATAAATTTCAAAAACTCAAAAAACCTTTTTAGGATGCATTCCTAGTGTTTTCGCAATTTGGTGTCTTTCATTGCTGTCTGGATATTGATTTTTAAGAAAAAATGTCTCTAACCGTTTTAAATTTTCCTCAGTAGTTTTTTGTGAGTTAAGTTTTCTCATATTGAAAAGCAAAATGATTTGTAGAAAAGCTTGCAACTTCTAATTATAAATAAAAATATATAAGTAAAATATTATAAATAAAAAAATATAAATACAATATTATAAATAAAAAAATATAAATACAATATTATAAATAAAAAAATATAAATAAAAAAATAAAATGCAAAACCTTTTTATATGTTATTTTTTAATTATTTAAATTTTCAAACTTTATTTTACAGAAAAATTAATAAATTTTTAAAGAATACTAAAAATATATCAATATCTCAAAAAGCTATAGTGCTATCTTAATATTATTTACAATATTATTACAATTATTTATAAAATTATTACCGTTATTGATTTTACTACATACTACACCAATACTATTAATATTAACTTATTTAAAACTACTACAAAATTAAAAGAATTAGCTCTTGGATGATTGTCCTTTGCTTAAAGAAACAATTAGTTAGCAAAAATCATTTTATACGCTTGTAAAGATAATTATAATTTTTAAGCGGCTAATAAGGGTTAAACAATTTTTATTTAAAAAGAAAAAAAAGTTGTTGTTACTGCAAATAAAATTTAATAATAAAAAGTATTAAAAAATAACTCATGCCGGAGGGTGTAACTTTCAGACCTTGCCTCCAATATGAGGATTTGCCCTTGGCTGGAGGGTATAACTTTAAGTAAAATAACAGCTCACGCATTCCAAAAAACATGGATATGTTTTTCACAGATATTTTTTTTTAATTACTTCAAGAAAAATATTGTTGAGTAGTATTTTCTAATAGAAAATTAAAAAAAGTACAGGTTATATTATGATAGAGGATTTATGGTGGTTTTAAGAAAAATGAGTTCCACATCAATTATTGCGTTGTCTTTTTCAAAGACTAATTGTTTTCGTGATAAGTTACCCCGTACGATAACTTTAAATTATGACAAAATTTTATCAGCATGCGGTTAAATATTTATCCAAAGTTTTAGGATAAAATGTTGGTTTTTATAACTATGATTGTACAACTACAACCGTTAAACGATGTGGTAAACATATTTTTAGAGCTTACTACAACCGTTATACAATGTGGTAAACATGTTTTTAGAGCTTACTACCTTTGTCCTGTTTCAATCATGTTTTTTTGTTTTTCTTTTAGTTAAACACAAACATAGTTTTATCAAACATAAAAATAAGATTGTCAGTGGCACAAAATTCTTTACCACGTTCTACTATTTACTTCTATTGTTTTTTGAAATTGTGAGAAACTGTTACATTACAAAATTATGTAACATTATGCAGTAATGTTACATAATTTTGTAACATTACTGCATAATGTTAAGTAACATATTTAGTTGGCTTTATGATCTATTTGGTCTTATGATCAAATGGTTGATGATTTATTGGTTTTATGATGTTTTATGGTGGTTGATGATTTATTTGGTTTTATGATCAAATGGTTGATGACTTATTGGTTTTATGATGTTTTATTGTGGTTGATGATTTATTTGGTTTTATGATCAAATGGTTGATGATTTATTGGTTTTATGATATTTTATGGTGGTTGATGATTTATTTGGTTTTATGATCAAAATTAATTAAGAAATATTAAAGATTTTTAACAAAAAGAGAAAAAAAAGTTTTTTGTTACATTTTTCCAATGAACCACTAACACTTAACACTAACCACTCGAAATGTGATCTTGGGTATTAAGTGGTGTCTTGGGTAAATTGAAGGAGAAGATGAAAATGAAATTATTGTAAACTTTATTCCTCCTTATTCTAGTCTAGGGCATTCTAAAAGGCTATACAAATATAGCCAAAACAAGTATTCAATGAAATTACAAACAAAAGTGTTTTTAAACCATTGAATATTGAGTCGTTTAAAAACCAGCTTTCATTATTTGAAATTATTTCATTATTACACTTAAATTATAATGCAAACAACCTTTATGAAAAATTCTTTGAAATAATTTACTTCTATTTATGAGTCTAATTTTCCAATTGCTACAATTATATTTAAAAAAAACACTTTAACGATTCCTGGTTAACCAAGAGATTCAAAAAAATATCCAAAACTAAGCAAAAGCTATACATAAAATATCATAAAGAAAAAACACCAGCTAGCAAAAAAAATTTACAGTTACTACAAATAAGTGTACAAAAAAAATACAAGTAAATAATAGTTATTTAAAACATATTAATAGAGCTACATCTGACTCAGAAAACACTTGGCAAGGATTGAAAGAAATTACTGGTAAACAAAAAACATGCTCAAGCTCTTTGCCACATATGCTTAAAATCAATAACAATAGGTTATATAAGCCACAAATAATAGCTAATGAATTCAATAAATATTTTATGACTTTTTTAATACATATTGATAAAGACATTTGCTCTAAAGAATTGTTTGCCAAATTATTATTTAATCATTTTTAGAAAGTTTTTAAATCTTTAAAAAAGAATAAAGCAAGTGGTGCAGATAAAATAAATAGAAATATTGTTATAGATTGCTAAGAACAATTCAAAATTTTTAATTTTTTAATTTTTAGAGCACTCATTCATCAAAGTATTTTTCATGAACGTTTAAAAATAGCCAAGGTTACCTTTATCTATAAAAAAGCCTGGGTTACCCCCTAATCTATAAAAAAGGTGACAGATTCAATAACTATTGTCTTATCTCTATTCTTTCTGTATTTTCTAAAATTTTAAAAATTATTATGTTCAACAAGTTTTAAAAGTTTTTAATTACAACAACTCACTACATAACAATAAGTATGGTTTCAGAAAAGGGGTTTTCAACTGAACATGCCACTATTCAATTTGTAAATAACATCTCTGAAAGTCTCTTTATACGTTACGCATTTTTTTTTGACAGTTGATCGTCACACTTTAATCCAAAAAATTAAATATTATGGTTTAAACAATAGATTTTTAAAATGGTTTGAAAGCTATTTAACAAATTGTAAGCAACTTGTGTATATTAATGATGGTAATTGATGTGAATCCCAAAGTATAATCTGTGATGTTCCACAAGTCTTTAATTTCGGACCACTACTATTTTTAATTCATGTAAACCACTTAAACAAAGCTTCTAAATTAAAAGGTATAATGTTCGCTGATGATACTAATCTTTTCTTATCCCATACTGATATTTATGAACTTTTTTCAACTACAAACAAAGAGCTCAATCACATTTCTAATTGTTTCTAGCTAATAAACTAACTTTAAATATTAACAAAACAAAATGGATTTTTTTGACTCATGCGCTAAAAGACGTTTTCTACCAAAAGAATATACCACAAATTTATATTGATAAAATTATAATAAAAAAAGATACTGTTATAAAATCCTTAGGTGTTTATCTTGTTGAGAATATTACTTGCAGAAAATATTATTCCTGTAAGTGCTAAACTTTCCAAAAATATTGGCATTTTATACAAAGCCCAAAATTACCTAAACAAAAAAACCTAACCCAATTTTATTATTCATTTATACACAATTATATAAATAATACAATTATTGATTGGGGATAGTAATTACAAAAGGTAATTACAACATCTTTATTTCCGTAGTTAATTATGCCGATCGCTTTTCACATTTTCACACAAATTTTTTTTATTATTTTATGGAGCTACTAGATGTTTATAAACTTAACATATTTAATGTTTTATGTTTTACTTTTATAAGGAAAAACAATTTATCTTAATTTGTTTTTAACGACCTTTTTCTTTAAATCCAAAAAATAATACACACAAGAAATAATAGTTTTTTAAACGAACTTTTTTGTAGAACAAAGTTCAATCAATCGTTTTGTTGAACAAAGTTCAATTTTGTATTGCCAATCGTGCACTCCATTTAACTTACCAACTCCTAAAAAGTCCGACTTCTCAATTTCATATAGAAGAATGCGTCTATAGAACATAGTTCTTGATAAAAATATGAAAAGTATAACCTCAATAAATAATATAGTTAAACATTATTTCCTTGACAGATACAAACATATTATTGACGGATACAAACATATTATTGTATTTTTAATTAAAAAAAAGCTATTATTTTTTTCTTAATTAGAAATATATTTTTAAATACTTTTACATTTATTTATTTGTTATATTTCTTACTTTATCTATTTATTTATTCAATTGTTGCAATTTATCGTATTTTCTTGTAGTTATTCATTAACTTTATATAAAACTCAATATAATGAGTATTTATAAATTTATATAATGAGAAATTTGTAAAAATACTTACGCTTACTATAGAGGCTTGATTCTGTCTTCTACTTGCTACTGTCAAACTTGAATTACATTTATATGTTGTTGTAAAACAAGAACATTGAAAAAAATATTTATAAATGACAAAATAAACACTAATAATAATGAAAAAATTGCAACACAACAAATCATCCACGGCAGATTTATTTGATTACCGTAATAACATGTTTTTTTGGTATCCAAAAAGTCTCAAATAATCAACCTATATCATATCCTACAAAACCATTAAAAACATCTTCATGTTTGTCTGAAACTTTACGAAAATATCTAATACACCAAGGTGCATGGGAAATACGTCAACAAAATAAAATTTCCTTGAATATATACAAAATTTGTATGCAAAGGATATATGAAAATAAGTTTTACTAGTTTATCATCAGACAATGAAACTGCTTTGGTTGAGAATTCAAAATTGAAATTTGGATTTCACTTAAATTCGGCTACAATTGCAAAATTTCATTTAACTTTTAATTAAATTTGAATAACAAAATGTATTAAATTTTTTATGTGCATGAGCCTGTATATTTTATATTAATGTATATGAGCCATGCAACGGCCTTGAAAGTCAAAGATCGTGTTGCAGAGACTCATTTGCTAAAATTGACGCACCCTTAGTTCCATTAAGGTATTAGTTCCAAACCGAAATCCTAAAACACTTCCGACATACAAGCAGAACTGGAAAAAAATCTTTTATCTTCATGGGTAGCAAAAGAAACTGTTGTTTTACAATGGAGGAAGAGCATAGCTTTACAACATTTTCAGCTTTTTCAGAGAGAGTCTTT